AGGGGAACGGTGAACAGTGAGAGGGGGGGGAGAAGGTGCGCCGTGGAGAACATGGGCAGCATGGGACGGAGCGCCTGGTGAGATGGGAAGGTTGGGCGGTGGAAGGGGCGGGGCGCACAGTTGGGCAAGGTGTGTGAAGGACATGTTAAGGAGAGAGTAATGTACAGGTGAGACGGGCTGGTTGATAAGCCCATCCCTGGGAGACCCGGAGTGTACACCACGCCCACACGGGCGCCTCGTAGCTCTAGCTCCCTGGGGGCGCCTTGTAGCTCTAGCACCCTGGGGGGGGGGGGCGGACTGTAAGGGGTACAGTCGCCCATGTTGTTAGTAACGGGAGGAGTGTGTGAAAGTGGAGGTCCGGCCATGGAGGGCTCCTTGGTCTCTGTCCCGTAGAGGGCTGTTGTGGCCACCGGTGGAGAAGGTTAATAGGTTTGTTGATGTGTGTCGGGTACTCTTACCCAACACTCCTGGGCATGATGCGGCTCAGTGTAGTGCCCTGACACACACACACGCCCACCGAGCGTCATGCCCACGCGCCACCACACGTGTCTGTAAGCTGCTGACAGCACCACTTGTAAGGAATATCAAGTTCTGAGCTTCGGCTCATTATTCATTATGTTACCTACAGCCAGATGTTAAGCCGGGTCGCCAGAGGCGGCGAGTTAAGACATTTGTCTCTTGGAGATATTAGGCAAGGCAGAAGGCTTGGGGTAGAGACGTAGCATGGCTTTGGGAAAGAGGAGGAAGCTAGGCTTATGGTAGAGGAGAGATAGGAAGCCAAGGGGTGATGAGAGATGATAGAGATGATGGTAAGAAGTGGAGGAAGAGCTTCTTAAGGCTGGTATTGGGATTAAAGGGAGGGAGGGAGGGAGGGAGGCTTAGGTTTCAAGGCAAGGAGGAAGACTAGAGACTGAGGGGAGCGATGGAGACTTGTGGTGGATGTGAGGAAAGGAGGTAACTTTATGTGACAGGTAAAGAGGGAGGCTGGATGTGAAGAGGGATGCGCTAAGTGAACGATAACGAGACTTGTGGAGAGTTAAGAGGCCGGAGGTGACATAAGGAGAGGCTGACGAGACTAAAGGTGTTGATGGTGCGATGATCAGTCGCGTTCTCCTAAGAGGTCAGGCGGCGGTAGATTAGTGGCGGCTGCACAGCCCAGGTGAGCCGGCACACACACACACACACACACACACACACACACACACACACACACACACACACACACACACACACACACACACACACACAGAGAGAGAGAGAGAGAGAGAGAGAGAGAGAGAGAGAGAGAGAGAGAGAGAGAGAGAGAGAGAGAGAGAG